TGTCTCAGGTCGACCCACCCCCCTTGGTTGAGCCTTTGGAGGTCTCCTCTGACACCTCTGGCCCAGCTCAGGGTGGTGACCCCGCTGATGACGACACAGCGGCCACTCGCCGCTCCCCACGCTTGGAGACCCCTCATGGTTTTCAGCCTCGGCAGTCTTCGCCGCCTCCGCAGCCTAGCGCTGTGGACTCTGGTGCTGCTAGGGGTGGTGACACTGGGGGTGAGGACTCTGGAGGTGCTGGTCCTGCGGGTGCTGACTCTAGGGGTGCTGGTTCTGGGGGGTGCTGACTCTGGGGGTGCTGCGAGTCCTAGTGGTGGTGGGGCTGTGGGTGCTCCTGCTGGAGGTTCTGGCGTTGGACAGCAGTTGCAGTCTCGTCGACAGGAGACTCTCTCGTCGCAGCAGCTTCGCGAGTGGGTTATTCGGCGAGGCCGCTCTGGTGCTGGAGCTTGGGGTATTGGTGCTGGAGGTGCAGGAGCTGCTGATACCGGAGGTGCTGGTGCTGGAGGTACTGGAGCTAGAGGTACTGAGCTACTGGTGCTGGAGCTGCTAGAGCTGGAGGCACAGGAGTTGGAGGTGCTGGAGGTGCTGTCGCTAGAGGTGCTGGAGGTGCTGTAGCTAGAGGTACTGGAGGTACTGGAGCTACTGACACTGGAGGTGCTGGAGCTGGAGGTGCTGGAGGTACTGGAACTTTTGGTGCTGGAGGTGCTGGAGCTGGAGGTGCTGGAGCTACCGGCGGTACATGTACTGGAGCTGGAGGTGCTGGAGGTACTGGAGCTGCTGGTGCTGGAGGTGCTGGAGCTGGTGGTGCTGGAGCTACTGGCGGTACAGGTACTAGAGGTGCTGGTGCTGGAGGTACTGGAGCTGGAGGCTCTGTTACTGTGGGTACTGCGCCGCGGCGACCGTTTTTCTTCCCGCATCCGCAGTCGTCACTGCCACCACCTGACTCGGCACTTCGCCATTTTCTTAGTCTTCCGTCTTCCACTGGCCTTACTCCACCTCTCCTTTGTCCTCCGCCTGACCAGTCACATCCGCCGTTACTGCCTGGCTCCCCACTGCCTGCTCCTTCTCCTTAACCCACGCAGACAGGCTCCCTGGCAGAGCGTTGTGAGCCTGAGTCGCGTCCTGCCTCCTCTGTTCGCACTGTCAGTCGTGCTCGTTGTCGTCGTCCTCCACCTGTCCCCGGCACACACACTGTGGCACTTCGTCCTTCCTCTTTTCCACAGCGTGTTGCTCTGCCGTCTCCTTCGGCGTCCTCTCTCCCTGACGTTCCTGACCCTGAGTCTGACCTTGCTCGTGCTGCTAGTCCTACTGTCACTCGTTTCCTGGCCACTCTTATCACTGACCCTTCCTTGAGTCTACTGCTGCGTCTGCCTTAGTCACTGAGCTCGTAGACTTTGCTGCCACCTGTCGTCTCGACTACGTCGCGAGTCTTGATACTGAGTCAGAGTCTTACTGTCCTCCGGCCGTCGGGGGTGAGCTTGCCCTTGGCTGTGACGTTCTTGAGGACAGGCAGTTTGAGCTTGAGTGCCCCGCGGCTGCTGTACCTCATCTCGCGTCCATGCTGCTTTGCCCTGAGGGAGACCCGGATGCACTAGCCATCCCGACCCTGCGCACTCACGCTGAGGCGATCACGGGTGAGTACTCCTCTCAGTGGCAGACAGCCATTGATGCAGAGATGGCTTCCTGGAAGTCCACAGGCACCTACGTCGATGAGGTTCCCCCTCCTGGGGCGAACATAGTCGATGGCATGTGGATTTTCATAATGAAGCGGCCACCGGGTTCTCCGCCTGCCTTCAAGGCGCGTTATGTTGCTCGAGGCTTCAGTCAGCGACAAGGGGTCGACTTCATCCAGACCTTCTCCCCCACCCCAAAGATGACTATTCTTCGGGTGTTACTGCACGTTGCAGCACAGCGTGACTACCAGCTGCACTCCCTCAACTTCCCCACAGCTTTCTTGCAGGGCAGCCTTCACGAGAAAATCTGGTTGCGCCGCCCAGCTTGCTTCACTGGGTCGTTTCCTGAGGGTACCCAGTGGAGCCTCCGGCGGCCAGTCTACGGTCTCCGCCAGGCGCCCCGCGAGTAGCACGACACACTAAGGACGACACTTGCGGCTCTTGGGTTTACTCTTTCGACTACTGACTCGTCGTTGTTTCTGCGCACCGACCCTTCTATGCCTCCTTTCTACATCCTCGTGTACGTCGACGACTTGGTTTTTACTACTGCCGACAATGGGGCGCTGACCCTTGTGAAGGCGGAGCTGTAGAAGAGACACACCTGCACTGACCTGGGTGAGCTGCGCAGCTATCTTGGCTTGCAGATCACCCGGGACAGAGCACGGCGCACCATCACTGTGACTCAGTCACACATGGTGCACCAGGTCCTTCAGCGCTTCGGCTTCGAGTTCTCCTCGCCACTGTCTACTCCTCTGTCTACAGGCCACTCGCTCTCAGCTCCACCTTCGGACGATTCCGTAGAGCCGAGTGGTCAGTATCCAGAGCTTGTGGGCTGCCTCATGTACCTGATGACTTGCACTCGACCAGACCTCGCGTACCCTCTCAGCATCCTGGCGCGCTACATTGCGCCCGGGAGAAACCGACCAGAGCACGGGCGGGCTGCTAAGAGGATGTTGCGTTACTTGTGCGGTACATTGGGCATGGGGCTTGTGCTTGGAGGACGGGGCTTAGTGGTACTCACAAGACACTCCGACGCTTCTTGGGCCGACGACCAGGCGACTCAGCGGTCGTCAGTGGGTTACTCTTTCAGTCTCGGCTCTGGTTCTGTCTCGTGGAGGTCCACTTGTTCGTCTTTTGTGCTTGGTTCCAGCTGTGAGGCCGAGATCTACACTGGGGCTATGGCTGTACAGGAGTTACAATGGATGACCTACCTGCTGACCAACTTGGGTGAGCGGCCTCGTTCTCCTCCAGTTCTGTACATCGACAACAAGGACACGATTGCCTTGTGTCGGGACCAGAGACTTGAGCACAGAACGAAGCACATTGCTCTTCGCTACTTTTTCGCGCGAGAGTTGCAGCAGCGTCGTCAGCTTCGCCTTGCTTACGTGGCCTCTCGGGCCAACACTGCTGATATCTTCACCAAGGCCCTTGGGTCTGGTGACCATCAGCGTTTCTGCACTGCTCTAGGCCTTGTGCCTACTCTGCCTCACATGCTTACTGCTTGACTTTGCATTGTACTGTGATCTATATATCTATACCTGCATGCTTACTCTTGCTATGTTGTGATCACTTTACTGCTTGTGCTTTGATAATTCTGCATGTGAACTGGCCTTGTGGCCACTTGCTTGTGCTCGAACTGCGTGGTGATCTTGAGATCCACCCTGAGCTTTGCTTTGCTTTGCTTCTTTGCTTGTCTGGTCTCTTGACCGCTTGTGTTTGCTATCCCCCACTTCGCCTATGGGGGTGTGTCAAAATAGCTTCTATGTTTTGTAGGCTCTAGTGTGGTAGCCTATACTGAGTACAACACATTAGGGTTAGCACTACTGTACTTCACAGTCATGCTAGTGCATTCATTCCTGCCTCATGGTTCTGACAATATTATGTGTGTAATGTTTTATTTTGATCAATCTTGTCATTTACATTCACTATGCAACAAGGTTTCTACCACAACAAAGACTTCCGCTACCAACTCTAGGCATACCCATCCAAAGGAACCTTATTCTAACATTTTAGTGCAATCCTTATTCGTTTATGCCATTTTACTCGTAACACGGGGCCATAAAGAAGTTGAAGTGAGAAGTTTATATTATCTTCAAAAGTATAGCAGAATATGTTGTTGCCATGTAGAAATTCAATTTCGTGTCTGTGTGCCTATTTCGGACCGCATTATTTCAGAGCTGTGATCTTAGAGCACCGACCATGAATTCGCCACCAATAATTGCATGGTCGTCGGTGCCTCGTGTCGTCGTGGCGTGTCGTCGTCGCCAACTGAGATCGGTGCGAACTTCTTGTCGGTTGGTTTGGTACACTAGAGGCTTTGTCGTTAGCATTGCTACTGAGGCCACCTCCTCGAACAACTACCACCACCACCACCACCACCACCAGCAGCATTTTCTTTCCTCTCTAAGGGCTCTCCTTCTGTTTTGGCCTACCCTGCATTGGGCCAGGTGAATTTCTGGCAGGGACAACAAAAACAAACACCCTGATTGGCAGGGTAATCTGATTTCCTCCCCCAAGATGTTTCCTGCTCTTGCGGTCCAACCACATCACATTCTCACAAACTACCCAAGTCGAGCATATTCTCGAAATATCATGAGAATTCAGGACTTTTCGAACACCACGCCACAATCACTTTGGTTCAGCAGACGGGCAGGAGCATTGGTTGGCGTAAATTTCGAGATAGTGCTTCTGTACGTGTACTGTTATCGAGGGTAGGCTTTGCGGGCGAGGGCAGGGCTACCCTGCGGCTAACTGGCTAGCTGGGTAGGGCAACGCGGTTGAGTTGCTTGCGTCGTGTTCATCGTGCGGAAGGAAGCCCCTCCTTCTGACACACACACGCGCTTCGCACCCCAATCCCCTTCCCCAGAGAGCAACCCCATTATATAGGGCACTTACAACGTCCCAGCTGAATCCGACTTGAGCACTCGCACAATTACTTTTGGCAGTCTAGTTCACGAGTTCAGGAATCTACCAATGCAGAGCAGCGCCAGTACCTCTCAGATTACTAGCGGTACCAGGAGCACAGAACCCGACTATGAAGTTATTATCGCAGGCCGTTATCGCCGCGTGCGTCTCCTCGGAAAGGGCTCTCAAGCCACCGTGTGGGAGTGCGAAGACCTTCACAACCCCTCAGGCCCCCACGTTGCGTGCAAGTCCTTTTCCCGCCTTAAATCCTCCGCCAATCGTGCTATAATCAACGAGGTTCTCGCTCTAAAGAAGCTAAGAGGCCACTCGAATATCGTCGAGTTGATAGACTTGATAGTCGAGGCCGACGAGTGCCACGCAATTGTAGAGCTCGCGCCGGAAGGCGATCTGGTTCTGGAGATAATGGAGCGCGGTCCGATGGTGGACGAGGCGCAGGCGGTGAACCTGGCGCGGCAGCTCGCATCGGCCGTGGCGTTTTGCCACGCGAGCGGCATCGTGCATCGCGATATCAAGCCCGACAACGTGCTCGTCGTCATGCGCCCCGTGGACCATCACCATCACCTCCCGTCGTCCCCTTCCGCTGACGACTCCGATCTGCTGGCCGTCGATTTCCCCTCGTCTCCCAAGTCTACCCTCAAAGACGCCGGGCATCTCTCCTCCTCCTCGTTCGCCCCTTCCGCTTCTTCTTCCTCCTCGTCGTCGACCTTCTCCCCGTCAACTCCCTGCTCGTCATCCCCCTCCTCTCCCACCATTACGACCAGCGGTTCCCGTCGTGGCGCTTCGCGGTCGCCGTGCTCCTTGGCCTCGTTCTGCCTGCTGGACTGGCTCTCCACCCCCGACGCTGCTCCCACTGCGGAGAACTCCGAGTCTCTGTCCACCTCGTCCCACACCGATGACCGCTGTGGGAGCGCCGCCCACAACACTTCAGGAATTGAGAATGCAGGGGGGTCCGCGGACTTGGAAGCCGAGTCTCCGCCGGCAGCGCCGATGACGAGCGCACAGCGCCGTGAGCTGGTCGTGGGAGTGAAGCTGACTGACTTCGGGGGCTCTGCCGTGCTCAAGGGCGGGCTCAGCGGTGTGGTTCGAGGGCGGGGCGCGGGAACGCGCGGGTACATGGCGCCGGAGGTGATCACGGGACAGGCGTACGGGTGCAAGGCTGACGTGTACAGCCTCGGAATCACTCTGTCCACCATGCTGACGGGGCATATCCCTGCCACGCCTGTGGACTTTTCCAAGCCCATCTGGGAGAACGTGCCAGAAGGCGCGAAGGATCTAATCCGTCAGATGCTTTACATGGACCCAAATCAACGGCTGAGTTCGTTTCAGGTGATGGAGCATCCGTGGCTGAATCAGCCAGAGGCGAGGCGTGCGGATGTCACTACCAGGTACCCCAGCCTGCTGCAGCCTTCAGCAATGGTGACGACGGAGATGGCGTACGGTCAGGGCAGTACAACCAAGGGCGGCAGCTGCGGGGTCAGTGGGAGTAAGTTCTGCAGTGCTCAAAGAAATGCAGAGCGCAGCCCTCCAGTGGAGTGCGAAGCAGCAGCTCCATGAGCGCAGCCCTGTATAGAAGCTGTTTGCAGCAGCTCATTGCTAAGGGGAAAGCCGAGGCAAAGTCAGTTGCTCCTCGAAATTTAAGAGGAGCTGGAGGTGATGCCCACACCCGGCTGGGAGGGAGCCTGCTGGCTTGTAGAAGGATCTTCTGGCTGATTCTTGCCGTCACAGCAACGCTGTGGAGTTGTGAACAGTTGCTCTCGCCATGCACCGGAAGAGCAACTGAGCACAACACTAACAGCTTCATATTCTCTGCTAGTGAGTTGAATGCTGGTGGTATTGACAGAGCCAGCAGCGATTCGTAGAGTTCTTGTTGTAGTTGTCGGAGATAGGAGATACGGTAGCGTCTCACAATTTAAGGCATCCTGTAATTTGGATGTTTTAGTACTGGCATACAACATGAAGTGTCATTCATTACGGTATCCTAATGTGAATTTGTACTTTGCAACAAATAGAATTATGACAGTCAAGAAGAAATATCGACAACGAGAACTCACATGCTAACTGAAGCCATCAGCAGCTGGATCCGTAACTGCACAACAGCCAAACTCCTCCCCACAAAATCCCCAGGAGAAACTACACCAGCCAGTGCAGCGATTTATTTGAACGTGGGCTGCATGCGATCCTCAGGCAGCTCTTCCAGTGACGACCACCATGCACGCTCGTCCATGGACGCCCCCAGAAAGCTACGCCTTCTCTTCTGCGGGGTTTCCGTGGTGCTAGACTCCACATAACCGAACGAGTCCTCAGGCACCCACACCCCAGACACGGGATCTGGCTTCCAGCACTGGATCTTCCTCGGTTTCGCGGAAGGTGATGCTGATTGTAGCTCGTCGATCTTAGCACTGCTGCCGGAGGGTGAAACGGCTGCGGCTGAAAAGGGCCTGCAGGAAGGGAAGAGGCGCGGATGCAACAAACACAAGTCAGGAAAAGATGGAGCGGGACCACGGAACAAGAAAATGGGTAAGGCGACCAAACGGGATAAATTACTGGAAAGAGGTGACACGGAAACGAAAAAAGGAACCAGTGTATGTGAGAGACGGGGAGAACGAGCGAAAGAGATTAAAGTGCGTCAGTGATAGAAACGTTAGGGGCAGCCAAACCTACCGCGAGAAAGCGAGGGCTGTAAGCCCTTGGCGACGAGAAAGGTTGGACCCTAGCCGCAACATATCAACAGCCGCCCTCGCCATGACCCCGTGATACTACTGGGGCTAGACGAGCAAGCAGACGATGCCAAGACGCTGGATGATCGGACTGGGCTCAATCAGACATCCCAACACTTGTTTAGTTTAGTCGCCGAAATGTAAATAGTAGCTCTCGAAGTACGCCGAGAGGTTGGTGTGTGTGTTGGGCCAGGAGTGCTGGTGACGGGGCGGAGTGGAAACTGGGGAACACATGACATGACAGGTGGCGGACAAACCGATACCGACAGCGCTAGCGATTTGACGGATCGCGAAGGTGCTCGTCATGAACGCCATTGAGAACCGTGATTGGTGCGAAGTGAAACCTGAGTAGATAGTGCGAGTGTCAGCAGGGGACTAAAAACATCACATACACGTCAGAGGGGGGCCATTCTAGCGCTGTAAGAGATCAGGTGGTCCCCACTTAGGACGCGGTACAAGTGCACTATACATGCCGGAATCTAGTTACCTTATACACAGCACAGTAACACCGGTACTGTCCTATTTCAGTCATTCTTATTTTCACAATAGAGCTGAAATCAACTCATGATGGGAAACTACAGAATGTCATGTGAAAGGGTATAACAAGGTTAAAATAGCCAGAACCACATCAATGGTCGCCCGTGCCCCAAATGCAAAACTAGCACTCTTTCCATTGCACTCGTGCAAGGTTGAAGCCTTATACTGTGTGCATTAATTTATTTGACTAACACAGTACCAAATTGCTTTGATTAAAACACAAAATTTCTCTGTAGATCTCCTGTTCACATAATATAGCACCAAGACCAGCTAGCCCTGAAGAATGAGTGAAAGCAACTGAAACATGCAATTTGGCACTTGCATGACCCAATGCTGCAACACCCGCCTACATTGAGGGATCATGTCGGTCATACGCACACTCTCACCCTATCCTAAACTTACAACTATCGCCAATCGTATTAGTTCTTCCTGTTAGCAGCCACGTTAGCACGCTCCTTCTTCCCGTGACTGTGCCTCGCTTTCTTCTTACCCCCATTCTTCTTGGCCCCATGTTTCTTCCTCCTCGACCCATTCAGTGCTCTCAGTCGTCACCCTGCTGCTCACAAGGCCTGAGCTAGTCAGGCTGTTCGCGCTGGCCATACCGCCACTCGCTTTCCCGCATCCGCGAACTGGGTTGCAAGCGAGCAGTGCGCCGTTCTCCCCGCACGTGCACTGCTCGCAGCGCCCCCTGGGGCCTGGCACGCCATCCGTCCCTTCGACGTAAAACTTGGGACCCCAGCTCCTCCCCGCCGCCACGCACACCGCCTCCTCGCCAAACCCTTCGCACGTGCCCTGGTCCACTGGCCGGCCATCGTTGTCCCGTCCTCCACCGCCCACAGTGTGAATCATGCACCTGGGGATTTCGACGCGGAGGAACCATGACGTGAGTGCGGGCAGTGAAAATTATATATACAGGAAAACAAATCGGGGAAAGAAAAACTGTCATCGAGGTTCGCTATCATCCAGTCTCACCTTCGGGTCTCGGGGCAGATAATGCCGTTTCCCTTGGGCCCCTTCACCAGGTCGCCCTGCCAGTCCACGTAGCACGGCCCCACGTCCTCGCAATCGCACTCCGCCGTGTTCACCCCAATCAAGCTACCAACACCGCTCCTCCCACCTGCTCCCCCCCGAGTCCCCGCTAAACGCCATCCCTCGATACTGTTTATGGAGGCGGCGTAGTCAGCAGCGGCGGCGGCGACCGCGGCCACCTCCTGGGCCTTCTCGGGGTGGTTGGTGCAAGTGCAGCGCGCGCAGGCCGGATTGCCCTTGATTCCCTGCGTGCCCACGGCGTACGGCTGACTCGTGTACATGCAATGAGAACCCACTGCGGGTACGGGAGAAGGGAATGGGAGTTGAATGTTGGGAAGTGAGGATCTTACACGGGATAAAGCGTCAAAAGGTCAACGGGTGAAAAGAAACGGAGGATTAAACAACAGATAGCTGACTGCACGTCTGTCTCTACAAACCAGCCGCAAATAGTGCGTCAGCTTAGTGGAAGGTGGGGTGGGGCAATGAAGTGAAGTGCGCTGCGACGTACGAGCGTAAGAAGAATTGCAGAAACCGGTGAAGACGGCGCTCGCGGGTGTAGGAACACGCGTTACCACGCAACTGAGGGTTCAGAGGGGGTGGAAAGCCAAGACGAGAGAGCGGGAAATTCACGCCACGACGAACGAGGAGGCGTTCACGAGCATTGGAGGAGCTGGTGGGCAACCAGGAATAGCAGGAGGTGGTGGGTAGAGGAATATGACGACACGGACGAGCGAGGAGCGGAGTAAAGGGACTCAACTGGAAGGAGCTGGAGGCGCAGGGAAGGCCGATAGGTTGGTGGTTGGCGTTGAGCGTACACCTGGCGCCGTCGGGTAAGCCGTTCTCGTTAGCAGCCGCTATTGAGACAATTCGAGAGGTCTTGTGGCCTGTGTGTGTGTATGGGAGAGATAGAAATGGACGGGTTTTTTTATGGCAGCGGGTGTAGATAGGAACTGAAGCCTGGGGAAGATAGCTGGAAGAAACATGTGGGTATCGATACAAGCGCCACCGCGGACCTCAGGGAAAACTCACCATGAGATAAGGCGAGGGGCAGTGAAGCCATTTTTAGCAGTACCGCCAACGTCACCACTAACGCCCTCATACAGCCTTTCCAGCCGCGTGGCGTTGAGGCCGCCATCGGTCAGTTGAGACGCGACCACAGGAAAACTCTAGCAAGATGTGGGTTTGCACACGAAATCCAGTCAATTTAGGAAGTGCAGATGTATTTTTCTTGGGGAAAATATGTATTTTGCTTGAACTTGCGCAAAGAGAGCTGAAATACGAGAAGCCGCTGAAGCAGATGTGTAAGCAAGTCACGCCTTTGATTCGAGAAAGTGCTTGTTCGGTGGTTCTGATGTGATGGAGTGGGACCAAAGTGTGATGATGTTTCAAATTGGGGCTGGGACGAACAGGGGCGCATTGACGGACGTGCCCGTTGCTGAAATCGAATCGCGTTTCGGGCAACATTGAAACACCGGCATCGCGATTTGTCAACGGCAATCAATTACTGCATCAGCATATCAAGCAATTATAGAACAATGTTCCGCAGACACGAATAAGCACAAGTTCCAACGACTCTTGTGTTATTGTCCGCCAAAAATGTTTTCACAGTTCGACCAGCTCTCGTGTTAGGCAACGGCATTTGCAATTATGCGCGGTCGATACTTGCTTGTGGGCTGGGGAAACCAATGTGCTTCGAAATTCGTGCCCGTGAAATGTGATGTTCCGTTGCGGGGCTGAGCGTTGTCGGCGGCAGGCACCCATGGCGCGAATCCACCACCCCTTTTTGACTAGTTGACCAAGACCCGACGTCACCACATGTATTTTTGTCTAACGAGTTACTGTATGTAAGGAATTGTAATTCCTTACTGTACTCGCACTTTAGGGAGTACAACCCGAGGGCCACGCGTCAGTTCGGTTCTGCCTATTTCGTCGCCCCAAACCACTCCCGAGTCGCCCCCGCTCCAATCGCAACCTTCTCCTAACCATCTTCGCCCGACCTCCCCGCCTAGCTAGGAATCCCTCTATAAAATCCCGTCACTTTCATTGTATCGTCAGACTTTGTAATCACATTCTTGATATTCGTTTTCATTACGCACTATGTAAGTTCATCGGTCGGGCAATAGGCGAGTTTGAATTTTCCCTTGTCAATCTCGTCCTTGATGAAGAAGTAACGGAGTGCGGTCTGCTTCGTGCGGTTGAGGAAGCCAGGCTTGTTCGCGATTTTTATCGCGCTCTGGTTGTCGCAGAGTAACGTGAAGTGCCCGTTCATCGTCACTTTCGTTTCCTGGAAGAGCTCCATCAGGTACAGTCCTTCGCGAACAGTTGCGTTGGCGGCGATGAATTCAGCTTCGCCTGACGAAAGAGCTGTGAGCTCCTGCTTCTGGGAGTTCCAGGAGATGAATCCAGCAAGCTCGAGTTGGAATACAAATCCTGTTCGAGAGCGTCTATTATTTGCATCTCCCGCATGATCAGCATCCACATAGCCCCTTAACTGGAGAGTAGCTGTTAAGTTAGCCGTGTAGGTGAGCCCGACGTAGGTCTAGCATATTCCTTTCTTCAGGTCGGCGCAGGTACTGTGCGAGCTGGCTTCCGACGTAGGAGAGGTCCGGTTTGCACGTGACGGCAGCGAATAGCAGGCAGCCCAGCTGTTGCTGATACAGACGGTGATCGTCGGCAAAAAGAGGCGTAGTGTCGGGTTCGTGATTAGGAGGAGGTGTTCGGAAAGGGGTGGTGAGGTTGATCGGTGCGATCACGGATTTCTTCACGAGAGTTTCGGCGTACTTAGCGGCCGAGAGGTGGATGGAGTTGGCCGATTACGTGACATTGAGCTCCAGAAACTGAGTGACGTTGTGGTTGATCGTCTCTTCGAGCTTCTCTTTGATCTCTTCCTCGAACCGATCGAGCAGCTCCGTGTCGTCGCCGGTGTAGAGTAGATCGTCCACGTAGGCGACGAGTAGGATGAACTTTCCGCGGGACTCCTCCCGGTACATTTCTTGGTCGTGCGGCAGCTGAACGAATTCGAGCTCGATGAGTACCGTGTGTAGGTACTGCTGCCATAGTCGTAGTGCTTGCTTGATTCCGTAGAGCTGACTTTTGGAGAAGGCAGACGGCGGAGTCATCCTCTTCGAAGGCGTGTGGCTGTTCGACAAAGATGATGGCATCGATGATCACGTATAGGAACGCGTTCGAGACGTTGATTTGGCGGAGTGGGCGCCGCTTGACGGTAGCGATGCAGATAAGAATGCGCAGCGAGGTGTGTTGGCCGACAGGTGCGAAAGTTTGGTCGTAGTCCACGAATTGCGTTTGCTCGAAGCCGCACACCAATCATCGTGCCTTGTAATTATCGATCGACCCATCCGCGAGCATTTAAAACCGGAAAACTTATTCCGCTCATGATGTTTCTCCCCTTTGCTGATGAACGTGGTACCAGCTTCCAAGTTCCGCGACGCTTCAGTGCGGCAATTTTGGCGGCCATGGCTCTCCATTTTTCACTGTCGTGACCTTGCAGGGCCTGGCACACGGTGGAGGGTTCCTTGGGAGAGGTCTGGCGAATTGCGACGGCGAGCCCAAGGACGCGAAGGCCAGTTTCGTTGGTGGTGGCGTAGGCAAGGCAATCCAGATCGTGCATGCTGGTAACCTCGACAACATCGTCGTCGCTGTCGTTGCCGTGACGGATGGTGTCTTGCAAAGGGTCTGGATCTCAGCATCTGGAGATCGGCGCACTGTACTGGTGTAATTGTGGGCTTCGCGGGTTGTATCGTCGGGATCAAATTGCGAAACGAGTATGAAAGTTGGAGTATGGAATGGGCTTGTAAAGGGGGTGTTCAGATAGTGTTCGTTGGCCCGAACGCCTGCTGCATCTTCTGCCACGTCGGCTTTGTAATGTGCTGTTGCGAAGCTGTGGTAAGTGTTTTCTGGTGCCACGTCAGCTTCGCGGTGTTGTTTGTACAGTGGCAGTGGCAGCTTCTCGTAGAAGATGCAATCACGTGATTTCGTCACTTCGTGTGTCGCATAGTCCAGCACGATCCAAGCCTTGAACTCCTTCAATATCCCCAGGTGAATGCCCAAGCGTGCTCGGTCTGTAAATTTTCCGGTCCCGGCAGTGTGAGGTCTGTACTGTACCATGCAGCCGAACACTCGGAGCAGTCGCGTGTCGGGTTTTCTGCCCGTCAAAGCTTTGTAAGGTGAGATGTTGTCCTTCAGGCTTCGTGATGACAGGAAAGTTGTGCAGCCGAAGAGCGTTGTTCATAGCGAACGGCCAGAACCTGGTTGGGATTGTTGACTGCTTCATGAGGGCCCTCATCCTCGTGGCAAGGCTCCGGTTTGTCCTTTCTGCCACGCCTTGCTGTTCGTATGCGTATGGCAGGGACACCAGGTGTTCAATCCCTTCTTGGCGAAGAACTTCTTGAACTCGTTGGAGAAGTACTCCAAACCCCTGTCCGTCTTGAAGCATTTCAGCTTCAAACCTGATTGTCGCTCGGCTCGCTTCATCCAGTACACGAAGTAGTCGAAGGTCCGAGAACGGCAGTCGATGTTGACGGCCCAGACGTAGCGCGTGCTGGCGTCGATGAAGGTCATCGTATTATATTCACCGTCAAGCCCGCCTTGTCTCAAAATCATGAAGTCGCTGTAAACCTTTTCAAGTGGCTTGCATCGCTCGTAGCCCGGAGGTAGGTCTGGGAAGGGCTGATGAAAGAGCGAGCGAGGGGGTGGGGCAGATGATACACGGCGGGTCGTCTGCGGAGATTCACTCTACAACAGTCCGGAGCTAGACTACGGGGGGGGGAGGGGGGGTGGGGGTGGCACGGGCTCTAGGAGTGATCGTAGCTTTGCCTGCATTCCTTAGCACTTCCAAATTCGCGGGAGAAATTGGCAAGAGTTTCTACTAGCAAAGTTGGGATTCCATAATGAATCAACAAGCAAAGGGAAGAATGACTACATCAGAGGCTAGCAACCTAGCAGGGCAGCTGGTTGATCGCCAGCGCAGCATGGTCGACCGCCTGCCAGCGTTGCGTAGAGGAGCCGCGCCAGCGCTGCAGAAAGGCGGCATGCCAACAGAGCAGGTCGACGGCGTGCCAACGCTGCAGCAAAGCGGCTGTCCAGCGTTGCACCCGTAGATGACAGCAATGTGCACGTTCACAGGTGCGCGCAGACGATTGGCCCGACATGCACCATCACGCTCCTGACGAGGCACATCGACTTCGGGATACCAGCCCGAAGTCGCCTTCGCCATCGCGGCCTCGACGACATTCGCGTGCCTCCGCAGAACCTCGCCGAGGTAACTTGGTCGACCTGGTCGACCACCCAGTGCCCTGGTCGACTACCTCCCTCGTCGACCACAGCTCCCGTCGAGGACCACCCTGGTCGACTGCAGCCGTCGAGCTCCATCTTCGACAACTGCTCGCAAGTCCTTCGCAGGTCGACGACCTGCTTTGTCGACCTCCCCTGTCGAACTAGGACGTCGGCTTTCCGTCGTCGGCGGCATTGCAGCGGTCGCCTGCGGATCGACAACCCCGTCGACCAGCACGCGTCGAACCCTGCAGAATAGTCCTGTCGCACCACCCACGCGCCCAACCAGGAGGTCAGCGTCGCCCAAGCGAGGGCGGGGCCAACACCTATTCCCGTCAACATCGTCTAAGGTTGCTTTGAGCGTGTCGCCGTTGGGCAGGAGTAGTCCGTTTGTGTCGAAGACATTGGCGGCAATTGAGTTCTTGAGTGTTGCGTGTGAGAGATGTCCGAGCCGCTGGTGCCAGATGTCGAGAGTAGCGCGATAAAAGACACTGCACTTATAATACCCATTCCTTTGTTCTTCTTCTTGTTGTGGCGTTGCACGTCCCTTGTCGGCGGCGGATCGCACATCTCCTGCGAAGGCTTGAGTGGAGGCTCTGCGAAGATCATCTTCGGTGGCGCCGATGACGTCGTCCGTGTCGTTCACGTGGATTGAGTTGTTGGTGACCAGTAACGGTTGCTGAGGTGTGTCGGGCCATTCGGAAGCGGGAAGCCCTTCCATCGGAATACGATGGTATAAGTACTCGTCTCTTGTGTTGGAGAGGAGTTGAG